TTCTGCCCACCCAGGCGCCCCCCAGGCCCCGGCTGGGAGGACTAGGGAGTGGGGACCCCTCAAACTGCGCGGCAGCCATTCGGGGTACCAATCTTCATTTGGGGGGTCTGGACTTTCTCCGAGGAAGCCCCATTCACAAAATTCCGTCCTGGACCCTCACCATTGAGGAAAACTGAGGACCACTCCCCCCCGCGGGGGACACAGGATGTGTGGGGAGCGTAGGACACCCTGAAATCCCAGTGCCCCATTCCAGTTAGGCCCTGGGGGGACCCCTGCCCTCGTTCCCTGCTTCACCTGTTGTCGGGGGAGGCGGGCGGACAAAGGAAGCAGCGTCACGTGACTGCTCATTCACAAAATCCCATCCCATTGAGAAAAGGGGGCTGGGGGCGCTGCGGCCGCCCCTTCCCCTCCCGAAGGGCCGGGGAAACCCAGCAGCCTGCAGGTGGGGGAGGGGGCTAGAGCTCGTCTGGGTCCCTAAGGTTGGGACGCCAGGGTCCCTGTGCTGGGTGGCAGTGAGGGGCTGGACACTGATCCCGATTACTGGGCGGAGGGCTACGTCCCCTGAGCTGGGGGGCGGGGTAAAATGGTTCTGAAGGATGCTGGGGCTGGGGGGCAGGAAGGGAAGAGGGAGGAAGGATCAATCTCCCCCCCAATCCCATCTTTCCCCCCGGCTTCCCTCGGCTGGGGCCTGAGGGAGCAGCCTTGATTTTTGTGAATGAAATGCTCTCTGGATGTGTCTTCGGTCGCCCGTTTCTGACTTCCTCTGCCTCCATCTCCCTCTGAGCCTCTCTTTCTGGCCATTTCTGGTTCTCTCCCTGTTCCCTGCCCATCTCCCGTTGCTGGGTGACTCAGTGAGCTTTGCATCCGGTCTCATTCATAAATCCGGGAAGGGGTGGGGGGGGAAAGAGCCTGGGTTTCTCACCCAGCCTGTGACCTGGACGACAGGGTGCGGAGGCAGGGGTGGGAGAACGGGAGCTGAGTTGATGGGCCCAGAGAAAATATATATGCGCAGGCACCCAGCTGTGAGGGGGAGCACTGGGTGGGGCTGTGGGTATGTGCTGAGGGAGGAGAAGGGGGTAATAGGGATGAGCAGGAGGGGGAGGGGAGTGCAACACCAGGGCTGTGGGGGTGGGGACGGAGAGATGGGGGAAAGGTGGGTACAGAGAGAAAGGGCAGACATGGAGAAGAAGATAGAGGTGGGAGAGAAGAGAAGGCATGAGGAAGAAAGGAGCCATGTGGAAGAAGGTGGCCATGGGGTTGAAGGTGGGTATCGCTAGCTTAGGGTGCAGTCGACCCAGACGTGAGAGATAAAGTTGGAGGGGAGATGAGGGTTAGGGGAACATTCCATGGGAGAGCAGGATTTGAGCTCATGACTGTGTTGTCCCTGTCCTTTCCCCCACCTCCTGCAGGTACATGGTGCGGGTCCGAGCTGTGGTGATGGCCCGAGATGACTCCAGTGGGGGCTGGCTGCCTGTGGGGGGCGGGGGCCTCAGCCAGGTGAGCGTGTGTCGGGTCCGAGGGGCCAGGCCCGAGGGGGGGGCCCGCCAGGGGCACTACGTCATCCACGGGGAGCGCCTCCGGGACCAGAAAGTGAGCCACCCTGGGGCATGCGGGGAGGGTAGGGACCTGGGGAGGGAGGGGAGTGGGGCTGGTGTGTGGAGCAGAGGTCAGGTTGCCTCCCAGCCCAGAAATCAAGCTGGGGTGTGAAGTTTGGGAGTGAATATCTGTCCTGTAGATAAGAGTTGGGAATTGCAGGATACATGGGGTGTTAGGAAGGTCCAGTTCACTGCCACTTCCAGCCAGACTATCACAGCAGCCTCCTCGTTGTCTCCCTGTACTGCTCCTGCTCCCCTCTCCAGCCCCCTGTCTGGTCCACAGGGGCACTGCCTCCCCCCACCCCCCGACTCAGACCATGTCCCTCCTCTGTTCAAAACCCTCCACCTTGCTCAGAGATCCTCGCCACGAGGCCCTACACCACCTGGCCCTTGTCTGCCCTAAGTGTAGGAAAGCATTTGCTGGGGTCCATTTGAAAGTGTCAGAGATGGGTGACAATTCTATATATGGGTTTATCAGGAATAACTGGGCTGTCTGGCACAATGTGGAGGGACAGTGTTGAAGTTTCAGCTAGGGATGCAGTAGAAAGATATGGATTGTGTGAAAGGCTTGGGGGAAAGGTTTTGTTTCAGAGCAGGAGTCAGTGGGGGGTTTAAAACGGAGTGAAAGAATATGGTGATACTAAGCAAGGATTTGAGGGAACATCAATAGGGTGTTGGCTAGCATCTGAGGGGGAATCTGTGGAAGTTTAATAAGACTATTTGGGGGTAAGCACTGGATACAGTGCCTATGTAATCCCAGCCACCCATGAGGCTGATGCAGGAGGATTGCTTGAGCCCAGAGTTTGAGACCAACCTGGGCAACACAGAGAAAGCTCATCTGGAAAAAAAAAAAAAAAAAGAGAACATTTTTGGGTAAAGTTTCCAGAGATTATTATTAGAAGAGGATTAACAATAATATTGTGAGATGTTCAGTAAAGTCTGGGAAGTATTTTTGAGTCAGAGCGGGGATGCTGGGTTATCAGAAAGGGGTTAACAATATTTTGGGGCATTCAGTAAGATTCAGGGTTTCTACAGGGGTATCAGCGGGAGGTATTAGGAAAATACAGGGGTTGGGAAAATATTTGAGCATCAGAGGTGTGTTCAGTAAAACTGGGCGTAGCTGGGTGTGGGGGTTCATGCCTGTAATCCCAGCACTTTGGGAGGCTGAGGCGGGAGAATCACTTGAGATCAGGAGGTTGACTCTGCAGTGAGACCTGATCACACCATTGCAGTTCAGCCTGGGTGACAGAGTAAGACTGTTTCAAAAAACAAAACAAGTAAAACTGGGGAGTCATATCAGCATTGATCAGGGTTCAAGGTTACACCTAGGGCTGGTGGCCTAGGTGTAAGAAGACACTAGGGTGTGCATGAGGGCTGGTGATGGAGGAGATGTCACAGGCATGTCTGGGTTGGGGTATCTGACCCTGCTCTCCTCCTGCCCCTCAGACGACCTTGGAGTGTACCCTGAAGCCAGGCTTGGTTTACAACAAGGTGAATCCCATCTTTCACCACTGGAGCCTGGGTGACTGCAAGTTTGGATTGACGTTTCAGAGCCCTGCGGAGGCTGATGAGTTCCAGAAGAGCCTGCTGGCTGCGCTGGCCGCGCTGGGTCGAGGTGAGCAGCCCAGGTGGTGTGCACTGGGGGCTGACCTGGGAGCGGGAGGAGAAGCTGGGCTCAAGGAACTCACTCTCTGCCTCTCTCCCTGCCCCAGGCTCACTCACCCCCTCCTCCTCCTCCTCCTCCTCCTCCTCCTCTCCTTCCCAGGATACTGCAGAGACCCCCTGCCCTCTGACGGTGAGTGTCCAGGATGCCTCTCTGCTGGGAGGGCAGGGGTGTTGATTCTATGAACATTCTTGAGCACCTACTGTATAGCAGGCACCATGCCACATGCTGGGGACACAAAATTGGGCCCGAACTATGAGCGTCAATTCAATCCCAGTTATTCTAGTCTTTCTGCCCTGTCATGATTCACACATTCATTCAAAGGTCCTTATTGTGCACCTTTTGTATACCAGACAGTGTTTTAGGCACTGGGTTACATCAGTGAACAAAAAGTTCCTTTCCTCCTGGAGCTTCTGTTCTAGTGTGGAAAGGCAGAAAATTGAAACAATATATATATAAACAATAAAAATGAATAAATATTAAAAGTAAATGGATGAACAAATTAATGGCAACCCCATGCTTCCAGTTACTCAGGCTCTAAACCTTGGAGTCATCCCTGACTCCTCTTATCTTTAATGCGTCTCATCTCATCTGGCAGCAAATATTGGTTCCACTTTCCAAACCATCACAATCTGCCTCCAACCTGGTACCGTCCAAACTCATCTCCCAACTGGACCATCTCAGTAGCTTCTCACTGTCAACTCCTTCCCTCCCTCCCCCACACACAGCCAGAGGATCCCTACCAACGGCTGAGTCAGATCATGCCCCTCCCACACTCGGAACCCTCCCAGGGCTCCAGCTCACTCAGGTAAAGGACAAAGTCCTTACAGTGGCATATGAGATCCCATGCCATGTGGCCCTGTGTGTCTGGCCCCCTTGCTTACTCGGCTCCAGCCACACAGCCTCCTGGCTTTTACTCTAACATGGCAGGCACAGTCCTGCCCCAGCGCCTCTGGACTGGCTGTTGCCTGGAACACTCACAGATTTCCTTGTGGCTCGTTCCCTTGTTTCTTTCAGGGCTTTACACAAATATCAACTTCTCAGATAGGGCCTCCCTGAGTATTTAAATTTAAGTATTCCATTTAAAATTGCAATCTATCAATGCCCCTTGTCTAGTGCTAATTTTTTCCCATGTTCTAAAGCATTTTCCTTATTTCCTTTCTGAAATTACTATTATCTTTTTTGTTTTTGAGACAGTCTTGCACTGTCACCCAGGCTGGAGTGCAGGGACACAATCTTGGTTCACTGTAACCTCCACCTCCTAGGTTCAAGGGATTCTTCTGCCTCAGTCCCCCAAGCAGCTGGGATTACAGGTGCCCAGCTAATTTTTTGTATTTTTAGTAGAGATGGGGGTTTCACTATGTTGGCCAGGCTGGTCTCAAACTCCTGACCTTGTGATCCGCCCGCTTTGGCCTCCCAAAGTGCTGGGATTACAGGCGTATTTCCCGGCCTATTTTCTTCTTATCTATTAGTTTATGGTCTATCTCCCATGCTAGAATGTCAGCTTCAGGCCGGCAAGGATCTTTTGTTGGTTTCTTGCTGTGTCTCCAATGCCTGAAACAGTGCCTGGCACACAGTAAGTGTTTAGTAAATATGTGTTGAATAAACTGAATGAATGAATGTACATAATATCGGGTGCAATTTGGCACTTGCTGGAAACCATGGGAGTTACCGAAAACACCTGCAGGAACAAAATTGATTCCCTGGGCAGAAAAGCGGGGGGATTCCAGGGTCATGGGAGATGAAGTGGGGCCACAACAGTTGCAGACAGTTCCCGTGCATCGCGTGCTTACCCGGGAAAGATGCTCTGCTGTCCAGGCCCCCTCTGGAATCTGCACTGTGGTCTTTGTGAGTCTGGCACGTTGTGGGTGCTCAATGAATGTCTATTGAAGGCAGTGTGCAGATGAGGTAGGAGTTATGCCCAAGTGACAGAAAGGAAGCTAAGGGTCTGAGAAGTCACGTTTCGGCTAGTTTCAGAACAGAGGCTGGTTTGCATGGGAAGAGGAGCACTCAGAGTGGGTGGGACTGCCCCAATGAAAGTGTGGGGCTGGGAGTGAGAGAGGAAGGCAGCTGGCTGCCCCGGGGAGAGGGGTTCTGAGAAGCGGGAAGACCATTAGATGTTCTGCAGGTTTGGCAGCTGGTTAGATCAGGAAAAGAGTTCCACAAAAATAATAATAAGCATTTCCAGTTCTCCCAGTACTTCAGGCATGTGCTGTGCCCTTGACAGTGGCCCTAACCGCATCCTTATGAATAGGTACTCTTAGGATCCCCGTTTTACAGAGGAGGAAACTGAGGCTCCAAGAGGTGAGCTCACTTGCCGGAGGTCACACAACCAGTGACAGAGCCAGGGTTTGAACCCAGGCCTTCCTGGTCGCAGAGCCCTCGCTCTCAATGGGAGGGGGTCTATGTGAGGGCAACGGCTGTGCGGGGGCGTGTCCCCGCTCTGAGGCAGCCAATCTCCTCCAGTCCCACGTGGACAGCGACTCCTCCTCCAGTCACAGCCGCCAGGAGACGCCTCCCAGCGCCGCTGCGGCCCCCGTCATCACGATGGAGTCAGCTTCAGGCTTCGGGCCGACCACGCCCCCCCAGCGCCGCCGCTCCTCAGCTCAGGTGCGACCTGGGAGCCTGAGGCTCCTGGGGGAGTGGGGCGGTGCACTCGGGACCCAAAGGGAGCGGGAGCCATGGTCCAGGGGGGTGAAAAACCACAGATTCCAGCGGATGGCTGACCTGATAACTGGGCGGGACTGAGAGAAAGCGGCGGGGAAATAGGGAGAGGCTTGGAGGCCTGGGTTTCTAGGAGGCTTGGGTGCGGGCTTCCCTAGTCTCCTTGCGCTCTTGGAGATTTTAAGGGGTTCCGAAGTCCAGAGAGGTTTAGGACCATTTTCAGAGTGTATATTTGGGGAACTCCTGGAAGAGGACTGTTAAATTAACGAGGAGGGTGGGCGAGTCAGTACCCAGGAGGGTAAAAGGGGCCCAGGAACCAAACTCCTGCGCCTTTAAGGAGGAGGTGGCTGGGTCCAGAACCCCTGGGTCTCAAGATGGAGGGGGCTGGGAGCTGGGGCTCTTGGATCTTAAGAGAGGACAGGGCTGGGAACCTTCGGCCTCTGGGTCCTTAAAGGTGTGGGGTTGGTGCGTGGATTCCTCTGTCTGTCCCTGGAGAAAAGTGGGGATTGAGGGACCTTGGGAGAGAAGCAAGCTGGGGTCTTGAAAATCTCAATCCCAGACCCAAGAGTGCGCTAGGGAACTGGATCCTTGAGGCTGAGACTGGGATGGATTCTGATCTCTTTGTCCCTTCGTCCTGCAGAGCTACCCGCCGCTTCTACCGTTCACGGGGATTCCGGAGCCCTCAGAGCCCCTGGCAGGGGCAGGGGGCCTGGGGTGGGGCGGCCGCGGCTACGAGG